GCTAGTCCAGAACCTTCAGGTCAGTTCAGCGGAACATCCAAGCACCTGCTACTTGTGCTAGACTGGACTTCAGAGCGCAAGTAGGTATGGGCACTGCCCTCCCAGGCTCCCAGTCAGGGTGGGAATCCAGCTCCACATGCAGGTTGTTCTGGTGAGTGTGGGGACAGGATCCTGTGAAAGCCTGGGAGCAGCCTGCTTCTGTGGGGGGAGAAGCAGGCAAAGCCTGGGAAAGGAACAAGGGCCACCCCGTGTCATTTGGGATTGGGGCATCTACCTGTGTGACTCTCTGTGTCCTTCTTGGGCAGGTCAGGGGAGCACCCCCATTCAGGTCATTGAGCTGACCTTCCTGGACACCCTGTGGAGCTAGAGGCAGGGCGTCCACGACAGGGGCAGTGCTGGGCGGGAAGGTAGAGAGCCCATGCTGACCCCAGCCTGTGAGGAGCGGGAACAGCCCTGGGGGAGTTCTGCTGGAGCTGAGCCCTGAAGGACGAGGAGGAGTTCATGTGTGGGACCGAGATTTGTGAACTATAAAGGGCTGTGCAAGTGGAAATTATTACTCTTATCATTATTTGTATCCGATTCATCAATCACCAGGGAGAGGAGGAATGCAAGTACCTTTTATCTGGTGCTATGAATCAAATAGAATAGGATATGTTTTTCTAAAAGGTTTTTAGGGTAAATGAGACAGTTTCTGCTTCTCTAAACAATCCATCTGGGGTCCTTGGCCAAATCTTGGAGCCTTGGTAGAAACGTGATGATTCTGAGGCTGAGGGTAGCCCAGGCCTTGGGAGTCCCCTGGCGTCTTGACCGCAGGAAGGACAGGCACGGTGGGGGCTCCCATCACTGGCAGCACCCCGGGCCTCACTGCCACCCTTGCACCAGCTCCAGGAAACACTCAGGAGCGAAAATGGGGCGTGGGGGGTGCTCCACAGTTGTCCCTGAAGCCATTTGCTGTGAAGCCTGTGTGTGGGACCCAGGGGGCCCTGCTCTGAGACAGCTGTGACTCTCAGGCAGCCCTTCTGGTGTCATGTAGGAGAGAGCTGGTCTTCACACATGTGTGTGTGCTACACGCATGTANTGATCCATGCTCTGAAGACAGACAGGACAGGTTAAGGTTGGAGAGGAGCAGGGAGGAGTGGGCTGTGAGCTGTAGGGGGCCACTGCAGGAACAGGCCTTTATGAGGCCCTCTCTGGGCCCGTGTGCACCAGGGGCCCTCACAGATGGGAACTCCTGTTGTCTGCAACTCGGACATCTGAAGGCTGAGGGATGGAGGGAGAATGCTAGTTCTTGCCTTCTGCCAGGATGTGTGATTATTCACAGATACACGCCTGGTGCATAGTAGGCACTCAATAAATGTAGGAAGAAAGGAAGGATGTTAATAGTAACTTGTTGAGAACTTTCTGCCCTGGTAGAACTCCTGCCTGTGTTACCATTGGGTAGCAGTGGTGCTGTCTATGAGCTGTTTCTCTAAGCAGTGTGCACACTCCTGGCCCAAGGACTGTGCCTTTTCCATTCCTTGGCCCCTGCTATGCTAGAGGGCATGTCTTGTGTCTCAGCCACACCTGTCCCCACAATCTAGCAGAGGCCTGGGGCCCACTCCTCCAGTTCCAAAGGGCAGTGCAAGGGCCTGGCTATTGCTTCAGCCTGGAGCCAAGTCAGCCACCACCTTTGCTCTTCTTTGACCTTTCACTATGAGCTTTGCAAAGGGCTTGGATTTGCGCCAGCTGCTGACCCACGGGGTGCCTGCTTCCCACTCAAATCTTGTCTCTTAGCCTCAGCTTTGACCTCTCTAAAGTGGGAACGAAAACCCCTCACAGACAGGGGTGATAGGAGGACTCTATAGACCCCAGGCATGCCTGGTCAACATGGACTAAGGGGCTAAGGTGCTACCTTTCTCCTGATGACAGGTGGCTAGTTGGCCGCAGAGGTAAGCTCTGGACAGGAGGTGGCACTGAGTGCCTACTGTCATGAGGAGCCTGGAATGGCTAGTCCAGAACCTTCAGGTCAGTTCAGCGGAACATCCAAGCACCTGCTACTTGTGCTAGACTGGACTTCAGAGCGCAAGTAGGTATGGGCACTGCCCTCCCAGGCTCCCAGTCAGGGTGGGAATCCAGCTCCACATGCAGGTTGTTCTGGTGAGTGTGGGGACAGGATCCTGTGAAAGCCTGGGAGCAGCCTGCTTCTGTGGGGGGAGAAGCAGGCAAAGCCTGGGAAAGGAACAAGGGCCACCCCGTGTCATTTGGGATTGGGGCATCTACCTGTGTGACTCTCTGTGTCCTTCTTGGGCAGGTCAGGGGAGCACCCCCATTCAGGTCATTGAGCTGACCTTCCTGGACACCCTGTGGAGCTAGAGGCAGGGCGTCCACGACAGGGGCAGTGCTGGGCGGGAAGGTAGAGAGCCCATGCTGACCCCAGCCTGTGAGGAGCGGGAACAGCCCTGGGGGAGTTCTGCTGGAGCTGAGCCCTGAAGGACGAGGAGGAGTTCATGTGTGGGACCGAGATTTGTGAACTATAAAGGGCTGTGCAAGTGGAAATTATTACTCTTATCATTATTTGTATCCGATTCATCAATCACCAGGGAGAGGAGGAATGCAAGTACCTTTTATCTGGTGCTATGAATCAAATAGAATAGGATATGTTTTTCTAAAAGGTTTTTAGGGTAAATGAGACAGTTTCTGCTTCTCTAAACAATCCATCTGGGGTCCTTGGCCAAATCTTGGAGCCTTGGTAGAAACGTGATGATTCTGAGGCTGAGGGTAGCCCAGGCCTTGGGAGTCCCCTGGCGTCTTGACCGCAGGAAGGACAGGCACGGTGGGGGCTCCCATCACTGGCAGCACCCCGGGCCTCACTGCCACCCTTGCACCAGCTCCAGGAAACACTCAGGAGCGAAAATGGGGCGTGGGGGGTGCTCCACAGTTGTCCCTGAAGCCATTTGCTGTGAAGCCTGTGTGTGGGACCCAGGGGGCCCTGCTCTGAGACAGCTGTGACTCTCAGGCAGCCCTTCTGGTGTCATGTAGGAGAGAGCTGGTCTTCACACATGTGTGTGTGCTGCACGCATGTATGCCTCTTTCTCTTGCACACAGAGGCTCAGCTCCTTCCTGCTCAGTGACTCACCAGCTGTCTTCTGAGCCCTGACTCTGTGCAAGATGCTGTTGATGGGAAGCAGCACTGAGTAGAATGGACAAAGGGCTTCATGCTGTTTTGTTTTAGTTGTATTTCCTTTCTTGGTTACCTGCTGTCTATAGCAAGTATGACTGGTTTCTTTTTACAATGGTAACGGAATTTTTTTTTTTACAAGAAACATATGTAAGTTTTTGAAAAGAGTTAGTTTAGTGGACCCAGGCCATGTTCACTTAAGTAACCAGGAAGGGGGTGCAGAGTTTGTAAAGCTGGGGAAAGTGCCACTCAGCGTCATCTGAAGCCAGCCAGCTTTCCAGGTGGTGGTGTTGGGCTGGCCCTCAGGACCCTCTCCCTAACTCTGGCTCTACCCCTCCTTCAAGCCCTGCTTCTTTCTGAACTGAGTCTGGCCACTCTCAAGTGCACAGTTCCTGCAGGGCATGCCTGAGGCCCATGCTGCCAGGTGTTGGCCCAGCCCCTCTGTATGGGATGATTGCCTTAGGGCCTGGCTGAGCTGCCACAGACCTTTCTGAATAGAAAGCCACACTGGAGGGCCGGCCAAGTGGCGCACTGCTACAGTGCGCCGCTTGGGAAGCGCGGCGGCGCTCCCGCTGAGGGTTCG